ATTTTTAACATATTTACGACGTTTCTGCAGTTGGGCATCCAGCTTTCTTCAGGAAACTGAAAAAAGTGTTCGGTTCGAAATTTTAAATAATATCACATGAAGAAGGCCTGAGCGTACAACGGCCAAAACGTCATGGTTATGGCAATAAAGAAGAAGACAACAGTACGAACGATATAAATAGTGTAAATAGAAAATTCTATGTGAAATTTCATTCTTAATTTCAAAAGTTATATATAATGAAAGATTTCCATTACGACTTTAATTATTTTTCTTTTCATACCGTTGTGTACATAGAATTGTATTATTTCATATTGTAAAACCATTTCTCCTTTGAAAAAGAAAAATGTTTCATAGATAATGCAGAAAAAAGTATACATTATATTCAATACTTGTGGCTTTTTGTGTCACCTTAACGAATAGTAAGAATATACAAAAAAACATAAATATATAGATAGTTAATTAAATAGATACGCTATCTAATTTAATTTGATTTAGAGCTACTACTTACTGTCAGAGATCCAAGAGTATTTTCCTCACATACAGTTTTGGCTTCCATTAATTCTAAAACGAGGAAGGCGAAGGAAGCAGACGCTCTCGGCGAAACGCGTCGTTAATAAATTTTCCACTTTTTCCCGTTATCATAGTTATACATATATAATTATCACATGTTAGCATTTTGATAAAACTAAAATTATTAAAATTTAAAACAACCTTAATTTTAAAATGGCCACCTCCTTTAAATCGACTAATATATTAAAAGATATTAGTGAAAGATTCCCCCATCAGTATATAATAATATGGGCAACAGAAAACCCGATGCTTTGCGCTGAGTGTCGACGTTCTGAAAATCACTTTTTAGGTCGTAAGAATTGCCTATTTTCGACAGTTTCAGGTCGTGATCTTTAAACTTTTATTAGTATCTATGCATCATTTTCCTTTTTATTCAGGAACTAAGATAGATAGATAGATAGATAGATAGATAGATAGATAGATAGATAGATAGATAGATAGTAATGGTAATATAAGCTGTTTCCTTATAAGGAAATATTCGGCATATTGAGCATCTACTGTTACATTCGGTTACAGTCCATAAATGTTTCTATTAAAGCATTTTTAAAGAAATTAACTTTCTAATGTTCACTGTCATCACTCTTTTTCGTGATGTAGCATCCTTCCTTCTTAAACATTTGTTTGGATTAGTAAGGAGTGACATTTTGATATCATTATTTTTTTTATTGGAGTTGCATGTCTATATAACGTCTTTAAATGATGAGGTTTCTGTCATCTGGTACAGTCCATTGATTGTAATTCTGTAGCGCCAGTTCACAAGATGGATGCTAAGGCGTAAGAGCTTCATTCGATCGACGCCATTTTTAATCATTGGTCTGTGAAAGCGGTTGTACACAGTTGCAAATTTAGCTATCTGTGAAAAGGTTTGGCGCCTTGCATTGCAATCACATGAAAGTGGAGTTTGAGGTCCTCACCAACCAATTCGTGAGTTCTTTTCTGATCAGAGCGATCATAGTGAGTTTTTCGTGCTGCTTTACCTACCTGATCACTAGGAGACTCATCCAACTTTTTCCGAACCCCCTGCACTGTTCGCAGATTTACACCCGAACACTCTGAAATGTTCGTATTGGGGCTTCCGGTGCAAATATCAAGCAATACAACATGCCTTTTCCAAATTTCTTGCGGAGTGAATTGCGTCACGGTGTTCTTTTTCTCACAGGCGGTGCCCAACTATTATATTTGCAGTCAACAAAACCAAACCAAAGGCATGGGCGAAACTAAAAATATAAAATGGCGACAATTTACCCATCGCCCGTGTGTGTGTGTTTGCTGGACTCTCCCATCGTATTCGACGTATGAGTGTCAAACAGGAACTGACAGTCAGATAGCAGCACATATGATTTGATTATAGTGCTGAAGGTTTTGTGCAGAACGAACCACACTTTTTGAAGGACTGAATATACAGATTTGGTGCACTACGTGCCACAAAGTCCGCAAGACTTTCGCACACTTCAGATTTGTCCTTCTCTTAGGCCAGTTGCCACCGAATATTTGGCACACAATCAAAAGAGGCAAGGCTGAAGAACCCAATCTGTCCTATATACTCATAGCTGAAGGGAGAATAGGGGGATTAATACCTTTCCTAAAGGTAATGGATTCAACTGAAATACGAACTCAGATCTCTGATTCCTCAATTCGAGCAGCTATCCACTACTCCACTTTGAATAGACGTAATAAGCTAAAAATAAATCTCTCTTTCTCTCTCGCGCAGTATTTTAGAAGCATTTGTATTATTATTTAACTTAATTAAAATTTGAATAATATTATTATTACCTTAATTAAATATTTACCTTAATAAAAATTTGAATAATGTCCTCAAGCATTTTGAGAGTTACGCCCTTCAAGGAATCTCAAACTGAGACCTTTATTTCATCTTGTTTTAAATTGTTTCCCTTCAGCTCTTCATTGGATATCTCCTCGTGTTCTCTTTTTGGTACTGTTCAGTTATTCAATCTAATATTGGTAGACTTAAAACCAGTGTTCTTATTGTCTACCTGCAGCTGCTGTTCCTTGATATTAGTGAGTCTGATTTTCTTTCTTACTGTAGCTGGTGCTGAAACATTTGGTTTCAAACTTGGTTTTCTTTGGGCTTTTTTATATTTCTTTCTTTATATTTTATTACAGTTTTAAAAATTCTTGGACAACTCTTTGCGATAAGTGAATGTATAAGAAATATTGGAAATTCTAATTCAGTATATTTGATTTGAAAAGTGCCAGTGTCGGAAAGTTGTTCATAACATTAAGGACTAATTAGCAAAAAGTGAAGTAAACAAAAGTAATATATATTCTCCAATATACCGTTGAAATTACTGTTAAAAATATCAATTTACCAGTTTCTCCTCCGTGATTATAATTGTTTCTTTACATGAAACTAATCAGTAGACACGCTTTTGTATGCCTCCTCAAATGGAGAAGTTCGACGTCTACAAAGGACATCATTATAACTAAATCAGTAAATGATTCATGTTATAACCAGGTTGATCCTTAGAGAATAAAGTGGAATAATACAGAGATGAGATGAAAAGTAACGATGGAGAAATATTTGGCCCACAATAAAAAGACGCAATGCAAAAGATGTTAACTGGAGTAGGACACAACAAGGAATTAGAGATTTATTGATATATATATATATATATATATATATATATATATATATATATATATATAAGGGTGATTGTGTGTGTGTGTGTGTGTGTGTGTGTGTGTGTGTGTGTAACGAATACACGGCCGCAATTTTCGACGGATTTGCACCAAAATTTACATGCACATGCTCCAAGTTAGTGAAAGTGCCAAGACTGACGATGCATTTCCCAACTCCAATCGATAGTAGAAATAATCGATTTTTCATGCTTCTACAGCAGTTTTTCTTGTAGTTTGTGGCCATTTTCTACTGTCCAGAGTGAGAGCCTATAGCTGGCTGCCACGAATAGGCTGGAAGATTCTATTGGCCAGCGTGAGAGCCAACAGCTGACTGACGCGAATGTTAACTAGCATGCAAAAAAAAATCGATAGCTGCATTCGTCACAAGTGGGAAAATTTAAATTTGCATAGCACTTTACTACAATTGGCTCATTCGCTTGCTTAAACTCAACGTTGATTCTGATTTCGCAGAACTGTTGAGTGTGAAAAGGTATTTGTTGTTAACATTCTTTTTTCATTCGGTTTTTCCAGTTACGAGTACTTTTTTTAAAGCTGATCGTTTTGTGTTCATTTTGTTTAGTTCTTTTTTCGTAACAGATTTAATGTTTAGTATAGAGCTTAGAAAAAACCCGCAGTGTGAGATGGGCAAGAAGTAAGGCATGTAGCAACATCAGCATGGCAAAGGGCACCTTTAAAAAGGCAAGGAAGGGCAAAAAATATTTTAAGTAAAGTGATAGCGATTGCTGTATGAGTCGTACGATTTTTGAATCAAGCACGGGCAACGCCTGGCCATGTTAGTATATATATATATATATATATATATATATATATATATATATATATATATATATATATATATATATATATACAGGTGTCCATAAAGTTCTTGTGCGCTTTATAACTTTATTTGTATTTGCGATAGAAATAATTTGTAAAAAGGATTAAAAAGAAGTAAATCTATATTTTTAAAGGTTTTATTGAAATTTTATTTAAGTTTCCACATGTCCTCCATCATTAGCAATAAAAAGAATAATACGATTTTGCAATTCACGGAAAACATTTGCTAACTGATTTACAGTAATATAAAAAATCACATTAGTTATTTTAGCTATACTTAAAACGAGTTACATTAAACTTTATAACATTATTTACAGATTATTTTTATCGCAAGCACAAAAAAAATTATAAATTTTTAAAAGTGTACACGAACTTTTTATGGACAGCCCATATATATATATATATATATATATATATATATATATATATATAAATATATATATATATATACGTTTGAAACAATGTACACCGATGTGTGTGTATGTGGAGCGACGTTGAAATTACGAAGCTCGCCTACGAATAAAGTTTCCTCGTGATTTTTTCGCTTATTGCCTGTTCTTGATACAATAACTCTGGATTAATGTGGTATACGTTTAACTTTTTTCATTAAGTAATTAATAATATACGATTTAGGGCTTTTTCGAAATCTCAGAAATTGTTGTAAAATATTTTTTGTATTAACAATTGGCAGAAACCGTCACTTTCTGACATTTAAAAAACCGAAAGAATAGAATTTCAGGAAGAAGAGAGGCAGTCACTCTTCAAATCGGATGGAGCAAGACTGTCGCCCAGAATGCAATCGTCAAGAATCAAGATAATGGTTTTTCTCCTAATCGAAAGCAAATTGGTTGTATAAGAAAAACAATCCCTACAGATGATCGTACCATCAAATCTCTCATTTCATGATTTCCGAGTTTCACAACATTGACTTTCTCTGGTTATCTCGTATAAAGATGCGTATTGTAGGATTGTTTTCTTTTTCTTTTCTCTCTCTCTCTCTCTCTAGGTTTGGTCAATTAATTCCAACTAATATCATGGAAACCAGCCCTCAAACGAGTAAAATACTCACGAACAATGTGGAAATGTTATGTTCTCTGAGGAATATAGACAGCAGAATTTTGTTGTGCGTTAGGCTTATGTCAGAAGAGATTTGATCAAAATAATACCATAAAGCTATGAAGCATCCACGCACCCAGATAAATGTCCTGAACCCTCGTACAATTCCGAATGGTCAAAAGTATCTGGAAATGTTATAGCACGTTTATGTATGATGCACAAAGCAAAAATGTACAAGAATATGTTAAGAAGTTTAGGGTCACTTTGTTGGAATGGCTTGGCAACAAATATCATCTCAATCTCCTTGAAAGTTTTGGGGTTTAAAAGAAGAATTTTGCAAAGAGACAGTCCATACCAATGTTCTTGTGGACGGTATCAACAACAGATATGCCACTGAAATTTCAGCAGATTGCTGTCAGTTACACTGTTGTATCGAAGTACTTATAAAGGTGAATACTGACCACAAGAAATATTACTTTATATTGAAATACTACTTTATACTGAAAGAATATTTTATGTTGAAATATATAGACGATAAACTGTTTCATTAATTGAAATGAAAACTGCTTTTTACTTATTGAGATTTTTTATCATTTATGCTAAAAACTGTTGGATGGTCGTAAAATTTTTTGGCAACGACTGTATGCTATGATAGTATTAATATTAATAATATTTCTATAGTAAAATTCGCATGTAATCAACCCCATTGAAAAAATGAATTTGGCAGTCCTTTACAATAAATAACTACATTTCCTCAGTTCGTATACTTTCTGTACTTTGTAACGCTCAACATTATTTTATATATTAAAAATTTAAAGGAGTTCTTATCGGGTGGCATTTAAGCTAGCTCGTGTGGAGCACTCTTGGCTTGGCAATCATCACAGTAACTAGGGAAGGGTAGATACAATAGGTATCAATAAATTCCATAAGGACTCAAAATTAATCGCTGCATTTAAGTATTTAATTAATATTTAAGCTTACCGCTTTAAAATTCAACGAAAATTCTTCTGCTACCACTTAATTTAAAGGCGATTTGATGCACGTAGATCCTTATTTTCCATAGAAACATTTTTTTGTTCATGGGTGATAGATCATGGGACAATTTATACGATAAAATCAATACAGAGTAAAGATGGGAAAATAGAAATTAGAATTAGTTATATATTCAATATTTGAAGAGTTAGAGAAACATAATTGCTAAGTAAGTAAAACCTATATTTTTTTCGTTGAGCTCAAATTCAGGGTTGCCAGATTATGAGAGGTTAAATATATATATTAATATATTATGTTCCATAATATACGTTTTACTTAATTAGCTATTATGATCATAATAAAAAGGAAATTAAGAGTTACTCCACTTGTACTATGAAAGTAACAATAATGGCTAGTATAATATATTAATATATATTTTTTAACCTCGCATAACCTGGCAACTCTGAATCTAAGATTAACGAAAATAGTTGCCTGCGCCAATTTTTCTAGAGTTTTTTTAATGAGATATGAATCGTTGAAATCGGACCAGTGAGGGCGGAAGAATTGCTTGGACACACACACACACACACACACACACACGGACAAACACGTAAACATACGCTGTACTTTATATATAAAATTTTACAGATTAAACTTTAATTCATCTTTTGAAACTTGAAAATTAAAAAGCTCTCCAATGACGTGGAACGAACTGATTTTGATTTTTCTCAAGTGAAGGAGGACTGGCTTGAATTTTTCAATATATTCTAATCCTACTTAAATGGATAGGATATTTGGTACTGAATTAATGGTTAGAAGATCAGCTCGACCAACGAAGATTTCAACAGTTGTGTTGAGTCTAATCCCATGAAAGTAATGAGTAAAACTGTAATGAAAGTCAAGACAGATATGAAGAACACAAGAAAGAATTACTTCTCAGAATATTTATAGAACATTTAACGGAGAAGGCTCATTCAGAGGAAGACACTGCTGAAATATATAGATTAAAAGTGTAGTTTAGCATTGTTAAAAGTAATTGCGTAAGTTTTTTGGTCAGGGAATACTAATTAAACTATCCGGATATCAACATTGAGTTTGAAAAAAACAAAAACAAATCAGGATATGGCGCACGATCTATGTATGTGCTATTGTTACAGAGAAGCAATTGTGGATGAATGATTTAAAAGGTTTGTTCACTCGCAACAGGTAAGAAAATGAAATAGGAAGACTTAGATTATATGATTTGTTTTTCAATACGAAAAGTAAATAATGAAAATTTAGAAAAATGTAAGTGTAATGATAATGTAGCTTCTCAATAGCTTAAATATTTTCTGCATGAATTGTACGTTATTGCTCATAGAAAAACCTAATGTATCAGTCAGGTTTCTGTAAAGTTTAAAAAAACGCCGGCACATTATCAGTGTAAAAAAGACTGAAGTAATAATTATTTGAGAGATAACCAATACTTATGCAAAAGTATTTATAATAAAGAATGCTGCCTTATTTATTATCAATTAGACAATATTGACTAAATCTTAATGAATAAATGTCATTAAAAGAAAGTTTGGAATATTTTATGTCGGTTTCCCCGAAATTTGCGGGCAGGCACACAAATATATATATATATATATATATATATATATATATATATATATATATATATATATATATATATATATATAGAGAGAGAGAGAGAGAGAGAGATACATATATATAGATATAGATATATATATATATATATTTAGCAGCTTGGCCCGGCTTTGCCCGTGCTTGATTCAAAAATCGTACGACTCATACAGCAATCGCTATCACTCGACTTAAAATATTTTTGCCCTTCCTTGCCTTTAAAGGAGTGCTGATGTTGCTACATGCTTTACTTCTTGCATATCTCACACTGCGAATTTTTCTAAGATCTATACTGAACATTAAATTTGTTACGAAAAAAGAACTAAACAAAATGAACACAAAACGATCAGCTTTAAAAAAGTACTCGTAACTGGAAAAACCGAATGAAAAAAGAATGTTAACAACAAATACCTTTTCACACTCAAACCAGTTCTGTGAAATCAGAATCAACGTTGAGTTTAAGCAAACGAATGGGCCAATTGGAGTAAAGTGCCATGCAGATTTAAATTTTTCCCCACTTGTGACAAATGCAGCTATCGATTATATTTTTTTGCATGTTAGCATGCGAGTTAACATTCGTGTCAGTCAGCTTTTGGCTCTCACGCTGGCCAATAGAATTTCTTTGCTTATTCATGGCAGCCAGCTATAGGCTCTCACTCTGGACAGTAGAAAATGGCCGCAAACTACATGAAAACTGCATGAAAAATCGATTATTGTGGAAATAATCGATTTTTCATGCTTCTACGGCAGTTTTCATGTAGTCATATCGATAGGAGTTGGGAAATGCATCGTCAGTCTTATTAAAGTAAACATAAATTTCGTATCAATTAATTTTATTGATTGAATTTCTCAGATATAGAGAGTTCATTTCGGAAGAGACATGTGAAAAATGACCACAACGGTGATGGTACTACTAAACCTCAATTACTTTATTCTCGTACTAACTAGATACAAATAACATACCCACATTTGTGTAAAAATAGGTTTTAATACCAGAAATACTTTGTTATAAAAAAAATATTACCAGCAATAATTTTTAAAGGAAAAATTATTATCAGCAATTCTTTGAAAAAAATATCAGTCGGGGAAAGGTGGGGGTGTCATTTTTGACACCCCCACCTTTCCCCGACTTGACACCTTGAAAGTATCTCTATATGCTACTTATTATAAACACCCTACACTCGCCTACCCAATTTAGACAATTCACCATAGCAGTTACCATGGGGATTTTGATTTCAATTTTAAAACAAGTAAATTTCAGATATACGTTATTCCAACAAAAATTTCGCTTGAGGATGGAACGGAGCCCATTTTACTTTCAATTCAATTTAATTTAAAGGATTATATTGAAGTTTTCGGCTCTAGTTTTGAAACATGAGACCTCTTATGTAGCGATTTGGAATCATATTTTTAAATAAATAATTATATTTATGCTCTACTTTTGTATCAAGCACTATTTTTTAAAAATAATAACTAAAATACTAAGGGACTTTGGATTATTTACCTAACCAGTTCCTTCCTATTTTCTATATATTTTCACATATATATATATATATATATATATATATACTGTTCGTTCCGAGCATTTTCGGCTCATCTTCTAGCCTTGTTTAAGAATTTCGTTTGTCTTATTGTAATCAGTCTAAATTTATTGAAATGCAGACATAATCTTAATAACCAAAAAACACCTCAAAACATCAACTATGAACACGACTACAATTCCGGAACTAAGAATACGTGTACCTTTCAACAACTGTTTACTGTAGCAGTTACATTTAAAACAGCACAACAATAATAATGGTTAACGGTGATTTTCCAAGCGTAGCTGTAGCACAAGGCTGAAAGGATGGGGGTACCCAGTGAGGATCGAACTAACTACTCAGTCGTAATTGTTCTAGCGAGTCCAGTTTACTAACCATTACACCGCCTCGACGTGCCTCTTAATAAAGCCAAATAGACCGCGTTCGAAAATGAAATACATTCTATAAAAGTCAGAGAAAAATTTTTAAAAAATGAAGAGACAGTGGTCTCGGGAGAAAGGAAAAGAATTTGTTTAGATTAAGGGAAGTACGATAGACTGAGAATTTTTCAGTACTCCTTGTATATAGAATCATCCACAGACATACTGTTTGGCAGCTCATGGCTAGTCATGCGATTGCTTTAAGCCGAAGACTCTCAACCATAGGCTATCAGCGAATGCTAGGAAAAAAGGGAATTTTTAACACATAAGTATCCCTTGCTACTAGAGGGCTCAATTCAAAGGGAAGAGCTTAGCATTAATTAGCAACAGCAGGCATCAAATATCCTTTCTCCCACAGTGCTCAAACTATGAACTGGAGAAGACAAAAAAAAAACAAAAAAAAAAACGAATATATATCTGGTTCGCACGTATTCCTGACCTTCTGAACAGGAATAGGGGTTTAACACTTGTTTCTTGTTTAGGATTATGATTCTGATACCTTTTACAGTCCTTTCCTTATCTTTCACATGCAGTAGCCACTTGAATCTTAACGACGTTATCGCCTTGATCGGGGTGAATTGATTATATATATATATATATATATATATATATATATATATATATATATATATATATATATATATATATATTAATGCATATTTCATAAAATAATATAAACAAGTTTTGTTTATTTCTTTTAAGTAAGATCCTTTCATATTGTCTGATAAGCTTAATCATATTATCGTTGAAAGACGAAACGAAAACGCCATATTGATACATGTTTAAATCCAATCTAAGCTTTCGGCTTGCACAAGCAATTATCAAAGATGAGAATTTCAATAAATCCAACAACACACGGACGAAACAACAATTATAATCCGCCCTTGCTGCATGAAAATTTCGAAGTAACAACAAACTCGTATATAGGAGACGCGGAAACGAAAATCGCGTCGAAGCTCGTGACGTCACACATGACCGCGCGAGAGTGATAAACGAGAAATATTAAGTATCGGAAGCCGTTGGTATAAACAAATGGCTTCTGTTATAAATTATAGGCATTTAAGGATATTTGTGGAGATTTCATAGTTTATTTTGTTCAGGTTAGGTTTTAACTGTTTTATGTATAAAGCTTCGAGAATTTTTAATTTTTGTTTATTATTTTCATGTTTAAGTATAATTCTGTTGTCAACGAGGATTTTCCGGAATTGAGTACGCGGGCAGGTATGTTATTTTAAATGACAAAAATGTTAGATTTATCATTTAAATGTAGAGTCAAGCACAGTGAAAGCGAGTTTGTAGTGTGACCAATATAAATATTATTTAATCCGTTGGAGATACAATCTCCCAAAGGGCACTTGAATTTGTAAACTATGTTGGTTTTCTGCAAATCGCTAACGGGGAGTGGGGAAGAATCATTGCGAGTAGTTAAGTTGGATATACTAGATCTAGTTTAGTATATGATTAACCTAATTTTTTTCTAGGGACTGTTGTGGATATATTAGTATTTACTTCTTTTTTTTAAAACATAATTTCATCTTGTTTATAATTAGCATGCATTTGACTACGATAAAAGATTAATATGTTTGGAATTAGTTGAAGCAGTATTATCTTCTATTTGCGCAGTATTAAGACTTCTAAGAAAGTATTTTATTTGTTCATCAACTATATAGTTTGGAAAGCTATTATTTATAGGCGCTTGTTTTATATTCTTTAGTTCACTGTAAAAAATCTGTTTTCTAGATATATATATATATATATATATATATATATATATATATATATATATATATATATATATATATATATATATATATATATATATATATCCTCTCTATTTTATGTTTTTAAAAGAAATTATATTCGAAAATCTGTTATTTATCTTTCTTTCTCTCCTCATTTCCTCTCCTCCTGTTAATCTAATATATTTGTCCTGATGAATAGCTTTCATTTTTTAAGAGCTTCCGTTCTGAAGAGATGAATTTAAAAATATCTACATACTAATATCTTTATTTTTTTTTCTTGATTCATTATTATAATACTCTTTAATTTAAATTTACATTGAGCTCACTTTGGATTAATATCTTCCTTGGATCTATCCCTATCAGTCACAACATTTTATTTATATATATATATATATATATATATATATATATATATATATGGGGGGTATCCTAGGAGAAAGCGAAATAGAAAATAGTCTGACTGAGAGAGACAAACGGCTAAAAAGAACCAAAATTTAAAGACAGAAAGAAAAAGAAAAAGATTCTGAAGCATGAAGAGTGATACACACATATACAGAGAAGAGAGAATCTGACAAAATCAGAGAAAGATGAACCTCATCAATTATATGTGAGACTCCTTTCATCCTTGTGTATGTATCTCTCTCTCTCTCTCTCTCTCTCTCTCTCTCTATATATATATATATATATATATATATATATATATATACACATATGTGTGTATGTGCGTGTATGTGTTTGTGTACATATATACATATATGTATATATGTATGTAAAGAGAGAATGTGAAATTATGCGTGTATAAACAAATATAGAAGCATGCCAATCTCTGATGTACCTCACTACAAAGAAATCTACAAATGACAGATACGCTTTTTTTGTTCGGCTCTTCTCTATGGCGTTTCGTTTTTTCCAACCCACTTCTTGTCCTTCTGTTATAAAGACTTCCAATACCATCGTCCTTATTATCAACATCATCCTCATTATTATTAATATTAATAGCATTATTAATAATACAGCTACTTCTGCTACTATTCTTCTTCTTATTATTATTATTTTTAGTTACTCCGAAAAATAACTCATCACGAACCATTACTATTATTATGAGAATCAACATCATCAACTTTCTGTTTCTTCTGATGATTTTTGTTGCTGTTGTTTTTGTTGTTATTGTTGCTTTTGTTGTTGTTCATTGGCTCTTGCCACTTTGCTCTGTAGTCATATTTTTTATCAACGTTTTTCATTTTCCCTTAACGAATTGCATAAGAAATATTCATTCTTTGTCATTTTTTTTCATTCATTTGCTTTCTTTAGAAGTAGATCAACCCTGTGAAAAAGCAGATGCATTGATAATATTTTTCAAGGAATTTTTTTTTTTTTTTATTTTGCGTCCTTCATTCATTTCATCTAATTTGAGGGTGTGTCGGCCGACCATGCTTTTGATTGGTCCATCTTTTGTCTTTATTTTTCAGTCGTTTGTCTGTTGATGGAATGTTTCGGCTTGTTTGTGGAAGGACTTTAACTACCCACTCTTTATCTTTACTTGAGTTTCACCCTTTCCTTTCTGTTCACTCTTTTCCCATTTATTCATTGTATTCCCTTTCTTTCGCAAATGCAATCTGAAACGCTTTTTTCCCCTCAAAAGCATTCCTGCATTTTCTTATTCTCTTTCCTGGCACCGACTCTCTCTCTCTCTCTCTCTCTCTGCTTATTCTTTCTCTTCATTACTAACTTACACATATTTTAATGCTTTCGATATTCTCCTCATGAAGGTTTTATGTCCTGCTCACTTCGAGCACACTTGCCGCTTGTATGGCCCGTCATTTATTAAACTCTCTCCCGCTTTCTATTTATCTTTGTCCACTTCTTTATCGCGGCCGCTCTATTTCGCTATTTTCCACTTTCACTCACTCTCAGACCTCAAAGCGCATCACACTCATACAGCCCCCCACACAAATATTTTTTATATATATATATATATATATATATATATATATATAGTGGAGACGGCGACAGTCTGTTTAATTCTTACACGCAATCTCCAGAATATTTGTATATTTACATACGCTTTATCCCTGATACTCAGGTCTTTAACCCCAAAATATAGCATACCTTAAAAACTTATTTTGGCCCCCCCACACATATATATATATATATATATATATATATATATATGTGTGTGTGTGTGTGTGTGTGTGTGTGTGTGTGTGTGTTCACGTTTAGATACGATCTGAGCAGATATGTTCGTTCGAACGAAATCATGGAAAATTGTAGTATAAAAGTAGTAAAATCGACCTTGCTAACAAGACATTCCTCTGTAGCAAAACTGTTATAGTACGTCAGGCTATATGACGGTTCCGTGTCGGCCACACTTTCGATTCCTGTCGGAGGACACCCATTTGCTATGAAAATTTATCGGATGTTCAGAGCGGTAATTGTTGTTAATACTGTTTATTATAAACAGAACATTTACTTAAATATTTGTGTCTATTGAAATAACGTATAACATATATATATATATATATATATATATATATATATATATATATATATATATATATAATAATACTTTCTCCGTCCAAGGAGTTTTTTTAGAAAAATTTCTGATTTTGAGAAGTGGGTCAGGCTGCAAAACCTTTTTAGCATATTCCGCGATCACTCGGATTATTCCTCATTCGCTCTCTTTCACTTTGTATTCTTTTCTGTTTTTCGCTTCCTCCCTCATTGATTCATCCGTTTATCTCCCTCTTATTTGTTTGTTTCCCTCAAATTCTGTCTATATATAAGTCATTCTCTATCAGTTTTTCTCTTCCTTTTTTTCTATCTATCTCCATTTGTTTTTATTTACATTTTGCATTTTTATAAAGAATTAATTCAATTTTATGTCCTGTTTTTCGTCCATACACATTCATTTTGCTTTCTTGTTCACTCTATCATTTTTTCTGGCAAATCTATCTATCTATCTATCTATCTATCTATCTATCTATCTATCTATCTATCTATCTATCTATCTATCTATCTTCGTCCGTTCATAGCCGGAGAGTTTATGTAGCAGTAACCGATACCCATTGATATCTATCTATCTATCTATCTATGATATCATCATTCATCTATCTATCTATCTATCTATTTATCTATCTATCTATCTATCTATCTATCTATCTTTCTTGTTCGTGTCTATCTAACACTGCTCATTATTATCATCTATCTATCTATCTATCTATTATCTATCTATCTATTCATTCAATCTATCTATCTATTCATATCTATTCATACTCATATTCATCTATCTATTCATATCTATCTATCTATTCATTCATCTATCTATCTATCTATCTATCTATCTATCTATACAACGCCTCTTCATATCTATCTATCTATCTATCTATCTATCTATCTATTCATCTATCTATCTATCTATCTATACAATCTTCTCTTCATATCTATCTATCTATCTATCTATCTATCATATCATCTATCTATCTATCTATACAACGCTCTCTTCATATCTATCTATCTATCTATCTATCTATCTATCTATCTATCTATCTATCTATACAACGCTCTCTTCATATTCATCTATCTATCTATCTATCTATCTATCTATCTATCTATCTATCTAACAGAAATTTTTCCCACATGTCATTTTTTTTTGCTTAGTTTCTCGTTGTTATTTTTTTCTCACTTTCCCCCTTTTATTTTAAATCCAATTTTATTTTATAATCTCATTCTTTCCCTTGTGCAGAATTTACTTACATATATCATTCTTTCTTTTATTTGTCCTTTTATTTTTCTCCTTAACATTTTCTTTCATTCTTTATTATTTATTTTTCGTTTTATTTTTCATCACACGTCTTTCATTTACCGTCGCATTTGTTATTTCAACTCTGTATTCCCATTCTTGTTTGTAAATATCTCTTTCTTTATTTTCTAACTTTATACCTTCTAATTTTTAACTATGCTTGCACGACTATTATTCCATTCTCGTTTGTTTCTCGAGCGAAGAATTGGAAGAAATACCGAAAGAAAGAATGAAAGGACGAAGGAATAAAGGGAAGAAATAGCGAATACATGATGGAACGAATAAATAAAGTGTAGGAATAAGGAAGGTATGGATGAAGGGAAGAATAACCGAACAAGCGAATAAAGGAAATGAATAACGAACGAATAAATGAAGGAATAAATGGTGAAAGAGAAAGGATGGCGAATGAATAAATGAAAGAAAGGAAGAGAGAACGAAGGAGGAATGGGCAGAAATAACCAACGAATAATTGAAAGAAGGAATGAATAAAGTGAAGGATTAACGGACGAATAAATGAAAGATTGAAGGAATAAAGGGAAGTAAAAACGAGCGAATGGATAGAGGAAAGAATGACCGAACAGACGAATAAGGGAATAACTAACGAACGACTTGTGAAGGAATAAAAGATGAAAGGGAAAATATAACGAATGAAGGAAAGAATGGCAGAACCAACGAATAAAGAAGAAAAATAATAAACGAATAAATGAATACTATTTACATTATTCGGACTATTGTCCACATCTTTGTTGCCATATTTATCACAGTGTTTCAGCCGATGTACGCTCTGGCCTTCTTCAGGTGGTTGGAATTTTGAACTGAATCCTTTTTTTTTCGCTCGCTGGGGTAGACTTTTGGGATAAATATGGCAACAAAGATGAGGACAATAGTTCGAATAATGTTTATAGTGTACGTAATAACTCATCTCAGAAATATAGACAGAGAACAAATACATGAAGAAACGAATGAATAAAGGGAAGACTGACCGAACGTAGAAAGAGAAAATTAAAGAACGAATGAAGAAATTTATGACTGGCTGTATGGAAATAAGGAAACATAAGGAATAACAAATATATAGTTCTTGATTTTTACAAACGCTTCAGACACTTAATCAAATATATCGGATTTGTTTTCATCTGAAAAAAAAATATTAAAAACAAAGAATCTGTTTATTATGTTTTCATAATAAATTGTTTATTACTTATAATCTATTGTTTGTTACTTATAATTTATTTTTATTACTTATAATTTATAGTTTATTACTTATATTTAATTTTCTTATACTCAGTTATAGTAAAACTTCAGCTGTTATTGACTAAACTTAGTTTAGTTTGGCACAATATCACTAGCAAGTGTCACTTCGTAACGATCGAACTCATTCCCATTTTTTTTTTCGAAAAGATACACTCTGTAATCATTACCGTAAGCACCCACAGTTTTTGTTACACTATCTTGCATTTAGAAATACACTGACGCATTAAATATGACATTTTATTTTTTGGCTCTTGTTCAAATAAATTCTTATAAGAATACAGCTGGAAAATAGGGAACCTATACAGGAAGGTCTTTCTTCTTTCATTTTCAATTATTTCTTTTTCTATTTATTCGAGTCTCACTTGGGGTAATTTCTCCGCTTCCCTTATAGTATTCAGAAAAAAATGAAAGGATCACGATTACAATTAACATTTATTGTAAGAAAACTCTATATTACCTCTCGTTTGATGTTTCGAAATAATGACAAAAACATTAATTTATATGAATTCATGCCACCCGCTTTCATTCTACCCAAGCATTTTCCCGCTAAAAATTAAGATTAGCGTTTTACAAAGTTTGATGCAAGTAATGCTTTTAGTCGGCACTACGTTCAACCACTGTTCCATTTTAGCTTGCTTCAGTTCGCTGATCAAAAGAGAAATGTTTTTTTTTCCCGCCAAAATGATGTACTCGTGAGCTCATAATCAATGGACGACAGTAGGCTTTTAAAACTGGCTGAGTGTATTGCCTTAGCGCAAGCCAATTGCGCAGATCATTCATTAAAGTAATGTGATCAATGTTGGCTGGGAACTCCAGTATAATAACCTTATGCCAGTCTAAACTAGACGTACTGAGATGCCGATGGTAATCACCATATCATGAGAATAGTTGTTAAATAAGTCGTCAACATATTATTTATGTATCCAAACATTTGGAAAATATCTGTTGATTTCAAAGTGTGTATATAGAAAACAAATAGTAATGTAACATGTTTGAATCTTTGTTTTATCAAATGGTATAAATTGTAGTAACATAACTTCCCAAAATAATTAATAATGATAGTTTGTTATTATTATTATTATTATTGTTGTTGTTGTTGTTGACGATGATGATGATTATGAGTGAAAAAGCAGCACACCAACAAAGTGACTTAGAGTTACAATATACGAAGCTTAATATAACCTTTCTGCATCGTTATATTTCTTGTATTGTCTGCAGTGCTGTTTTTTCGAGAGATATCGAATGATAGCAGGTAACATCGATATCTTCAATTCTCTTCTTGCCATTACAGTCCGCTTACTGCTTTCTTCTTCTTCTTCTTCTTCTTCTTCTTCTTCTTCTTCTTCACATTATCATTATTATTATTATTATTATTATTATTATTATTAGTAGTAGTAGTAGTAGTAGTAATAACCTCTCTAGTTGTAAAATTCTACGTGTAAAATTGTACAAAACTCTATATTCAATATTTTATTAACAAGATGATCTTACCTTTATATATAAAGTGTGTTTTCAATATTAGGGTAATTTTAAATCGATATTTTACACAAACACACGCACACGCACGACCACAACCGAATATACGCATGCACACACAGTCACACACATACACACAGAGAAATACATACATATGGATATTTACTAAGCATACATTATTAAAGCACAATGTCAATTAAATAGAAATGGAACGAGAAAAAGTCTATTACAAAAAAAAAGCTGAGATAAAGTATTGGCTCGTATTTACAAAATGTAATTCATTTGAAATTCTGAATTACAAGAGGAAATAATCAAAGATATCAGCCAGGAAACAGATCGAAAATTCACATATTTATATATCTTTGATTTCTGGCCAACACTATCGGATTATCCTCTAAAACATGACGGAATATTTATATTTTAAGTATAACTGCAAATTTTATTACTAAATTCGTACTCACATCTCTTCAAACTAGAAATAATTTGAGAGTGAAAAGTAACTGAATTAAATTATGCCTTTTTATTTGTCAAGTTTAAATAATAGAAAATTCTATTTTAGATCTGAATAATATCTAGAAATTACCAAATTGGCTACTGTTATTATTATTAAAGTTATCCACTGTTTTAACCGGGTATTGAACTCACACTCTTTGGATCCTGTCACTTATTGACGCCTTTATCCACTGTACCATGTGTCCTTGAGAACTTTCAGAGGGAAATTAACAGATAACTGATAACTGACATCCATTAGAACATGGCACGTTGAACTAGAACAGTCTACCCTAGTGAGCGAAATAATGGGTTCAGTTCGACATTCTAACCACCTGAAGAAGGCCGGAGCGTACAACGGCCGAAACGTTGTAATAAATATGGCGACAAAGATGAGCACAATAATCCGAATAATGTAAATAATGTTCAAAAATTTTGTTGGCATTAAATGACCCACTGAAGTTGATATGTCATAAAACAAAACAACCTACCAAACAAGCAACCAACATACTGTATTCATTTATTGATTTATGGATTCATCTCTATTTTCACAATATTTATTTTTATTATTGCTATAAAAACTTTTCCTTTCTCCTTCAAAGGTGTAAAATAGTTGCTTCTTTCTGTTGTATATCAAGTTGGTATCCGAACTCCCAGAAGTTCATCAAATATTTTGTTGTCGGTGCATTTCATAGAAATAGGTCATTGGACTATTTTATATGAAATTATTTAGGGAAGGTACCCCGAAAACAGAAGTGGGATTAGTCACCTCGCTACAATTCCAGATCATCTTCGATTGCCATTTTAGTTTCTGATATGTGTATAACATTCCCTTCTTAAATATGTTGTTGTATTAAGAGCTGCCTCCAAGTTTCACTTTAAACCACAAGAGACTTCAAGTCAGCAACTCATTATTGTTTGTGCAGTTGGTTTTGATATGTAATTGACGTTGCTAGCATCATTTTTTTAATTGTGTAATGCCACACAATAGCTTACAATTTCATTAAATTGTGTATATGTAAGCGCAGATAAAAATTCATATACAGTAAAAAACATGTGAACGGATTAAATGGAGAACCTGAAAATAATAATAATAATTTAAGGGAATTTACAATGCAAACAGATAGAACTATCAAAGGCTGTCGTCTAGACATCTTGTTCAAAGGGCACAAGAAAAAAATGCGCCTTCTTATTGACACGGCACTATCTGCAGATTGTAATATATCATTGAAGATTAAAAAAAAAAACTAATACGAGAATCTTGAAATAGAAATCTCAAAAATGTGGTACACGGGGACATCAGTAATTTCAGTTGTAGTTGTCGCCCTCGGACCTGATAGACTCATGGAAAGGATTCCTGGTAGACCATGCCTTAAAGAAATACAAAGAATTCTACGCACAAGCACAACTCACATATAACGAAAAGATTTAGCGATGTAAAATGTGTGCGTTTTTAGTTTGCTTTTGATTTCTTGTTGTTTTTGCAAAAGATCGACTGTGGATAATTTCATGAAACCATTTCTGATCATAGGTTCTCCGTTTGTGACACGCGTGAAAATGTATATAGAGTAGAAATAGAAGAAATTAAATGACATTTGTCTTATAGGGCCTAAGGACCATAGTTTGGACCCGGTTTTTAAGGACACAAAGCAGGAAACATAGATAAAATAAATAAATAAATAAATAATAATAATAATAATAATAATAATAATAATAATAATAATAATGATAAGAAGAAGAAGAAGAAGAAGAAGAAGAAGAAGAAGAAGAAGAAGATGAAGAAATTAATTGACAGTTCTCCTATAGGGCCTAAAGACCATAGTTTGGACCCGGTTTTTAAGGACACAAAGCAGGAAACATAAATAGATAAAATAAATAAATAAATAAATAATAATAATAATAATAATAATAAGAAGAAGAAGAAGAAGAAGAAGAAGAAGAAGAAGAAGAAGATGAAGAAATTAATTGACAGTTCTCCTATAGGGCCTAAAGACCATAGTTTTAACCCGGTTCTAAAGGATACAAAGCAGGAACATAAATAAATAAATAAATAAATAATAATAATAATAATAATAATAACGTATTATTATCATTATTATTATTATTATTATTATTATTATTATTATTATTATTATTATAGAGTAAAAAGTAGAGGAAAACAAATATACAACCCCTAATATATTCATCATGACAGATGTATTCTGATACTGGAAGTATTAATCCTAAAATAAACAAGAGTTCAACTTTAATATATTCTTATTAAATTTAGGTACACGTTTACTAAATATATTTAATAAAAAGAATAAAGAAGAAAGACATGATGACAGGAAATCTCGCGGGAAGACGTGAAGTTGAGATATTTAAAAATGATGAAACGAACATGAGACAAAATACAAAATCTTTGATAACGTTTTATGAAACCCAATGGAAAACAGCCATTTATATTTAAGTCTATTTATTTAAAAATGGAACAGGAAAATGATAAGAAAAATGGAGAACATTAATTTAAAATATTTTCAACGAAAACGGACATTGATTAGAACATGCTTATTTATAAATAATAGAAGGAATTATCAAGGAGAAATGGGTAGATACAAACATACGTACATAAAATATATATATATATATATATATATATATATATAAGCTATGAAAAACTTAGTAATCAGTATGGGTGGTCCCAACGAGGATGAAACTTGAGAATATATATATATATATATATATATATATATATATATATATATATATATATATATACAGTGTAACCCGGATATAAGCGACCCGGATATAAGAGCGGTTTTCTCTGGTCCCAAATTAGAGCCTGTGTTAATGTATATAAAATAGACCAAACCCGGATATAAGATAAACCCGGATATAAGAGACTTTTCTCCGATCCCGACAACTCTTTATATCGGGTTACTATATATATATATATATATATATATATATATATATATATATATATATATATATATATATATAATAGATAGATAGATAGATAGATAAATAGATAGATAGATAAAAAGAAACTTACAGAATACATATCAACTGAAATAAGTATGAACAGAGATACAGAGAGAGAGAAAGAGGGAATTATATCGAAATTGATCTTGATATTTACATCAAGATACACCGAGATAGATAGATAGATAGATAGATAGATAGATAGATAGATAGATAGATAGATAAAAGGAAACTTACAGATTACATATCAACTGAATTAAATATGAACAGAGATAGAGAGAGAGAGATCGAAATTGATCTTTATATATACATCAAGATAATTAATACACCGAATTATATAGATAGATAGATAGGTAGATAGATAGATTAAAAGAAGCTTACAGATTACATATCACCTGACTTAAGTATGGACAGACATACAGAGAGAGAGAGAGAGAGAGAGAGAGAGAGAGAGAGAGAGAGAGAAAGAGAGATTTATATCGAAATTGACCTTGATATTTACATCAAGATACACCGAGATAGATAGATAGATAGATAGATAGATAGATAGATAGATAGATAGATAGATAAAAAGAAACTTACAGATTACATATCAACTAAATTAAATATGAACAGAGATAGAGAGAGATCGAAATTGATCTTGATATATACATCAAGATAATTAATACACAGAGTTAGGTGGATGGATGGATAGATAGATAGATAGATAGATAGATAGATAGATAGATAGATAGATAGATAGATAGATAGAGAGATAGAAAGAAGCTTACAGATTACATATCACCTGACTTAAGTATGAACAGACATACAGAGTGAGAGTTATATCGAAATTGACCTTGATATTTACATCAGGATACACCGAGTTAGATAGATAGATAGATAGATAGATAGATAGATAGATAGATAGTCATCTACAGATGAGTTATGTAAACAATTTAACATAATGGTTTTAAGAAATTTGAAACTTTCTTTTCCTTTATTAATCATAACATTTCCGAGACGGAAATTTTATTTAAATAAATCCAATTTTAATAGATTGTAATTATAGTGCAGTGTTTTAAATGAAAATTCTTACAACAAACCTGGAAATATACAAGAGAGATTTGCATAAAAACGAC